TGGCGCCGACGACAAGTGACAATCGATTCTGTCATGGCGGGACTATAATTTTATTTAAGCTAAGGACCACCGTAAATGGGAGGTTCCATTTAACCCCAAAAATTAATAAATTTCTGCAGAAAATGCAATTTCATTTAAGACAGCCCGGACGATCGTAAATGGGCCCTTATAGCCATAATACATTACTATTACTGCTCACAAGAAGACAATAACTAAAAGAATTTAAAATACTTCTTGGTAACTTTTCTCTTTTTAAAAACACTCAGCTTAATTTAGACGGCTCGTTATTGGACAAAGACAGAATGTAAACTAAGAAATATCTCATATCATTGCCATCCCTGAGAAGTAAAAAATAGCCTCAGTAAAATTTCATTTTAGCATCTTAAGAAGACTGGAAAAGATTTAGGTGAATTCCAACTCACACCAGTTAAACTTAGGTAAGCCTTATGAACAAGCCTCAAAATAGTTCTGCACAGGAAATATCTGTTGCACTGCACAACCAAAACCTACTTAACACCTAAAATCAATTGAGTACAGCATATATTGACTACAGCAGGAATGTGCCATGTCAAATACTCAGACAGAAAAGAAAAATAACAAAATTGTACTAAACTTAAGATCACTCATTTAACCACAGTTCTAATGAAAAGAAATATATCAAGGTAAAGGTTCCAAGAAACAACTTTCAAGAGTTCTAAAATTCAGTCATATGCATAAAATATCTATCTAAAGCACGTTGTTGGGGTGAACAGTTAAAAGAATACAGGGGACAAGTTACAGTTACAACTGGTTACACCCTTAATTCAAATTACAAAATCAAACTCTTGATTCATTAACATAACCCAAGTATGACTTGAGTATCGGATTACATCAAGAATTATCACAACATCAACAGCATATTCTAATTTAATTCACTTTTTAGCTGCAAATAGAAAATTGAAAAAGGATCACACCTAGAAGTTCACATGTTTACATTTGGAAGAAGCTTTTCCAAGAGTGCGCGTATTTGAGCTAGTTCATCAACATTTAATCTTACTAAATCTTGAAGCTTGCGATTTTCCCTCTCAACTACTTGACTCAAGAGCACGCAATTTTCAGGGGAGTGTTGTAAGTTAGAGTAATTACCTTCAAGAATGACTTTTCTTCTTGAACTTGAGCTAGGGTTGGTATTCACACCTTGGATTGATGGGTTGTTCACTGTAGAAAGCAAATTGGTATTTAAACCTTCGAGTTGTGAACATAGAGTATTTTGGTGCTGAATCACTGTAGCAACCTGCAATGCAAATAAAAGGCAATGAATAACTGATAGAAGAACAAAGAAGCAGAGGAAAAAGCTAAGCTTCTTGAAAAAAAATCAGTGTGCTGAAAAGAATGACATACCTGCTGTAGTGCAACATTCATGTTACAGTCAGAAGATGAGCATAGATGATTTTGAACTTGTTGCAAAGCATCCTTAATTCGATTTTGAGCTTCCTTTAAGGTCTCCAAATTTTTACTGATACTTCCCATACATTCACTTCGGTTCTGAGCAAGTAAATCATCATGGCACTTAGTTAGGGACTTCTTCAGTTTACAGTTGCACTTGCAGCATTCCTGCTCGATAACAAAATTTTCTCAGTTAGCCTAGTACTTACGTAATTGAAAGAACTTGTTAGATTAAATTGATGTGCTCTAAAACTATGGTACTGGTTGCAGTTATGAAATAAGCCAACATAATTAGGAGCCCACTAAGCAAAGCAGATATTTAGGTCTTAAAATGGAAGTAAATCTACTGGTTAGAAGCACAACTAATCAACAAAATTGATATCAAAGGATTTTAGCATGCCTCCATGCAACTCACCCTGGGTGTGCGGAGAGCCTCCACTTCACCCTCGTAGTCCTGAAGACACAAGACACATTATGCCATGCAACTAAAACTTTCAATGAATCACCAGCTAGGGAAAGGGAAGCTATAAAATCAGGTGCAGTTACTTATGTTTTTTGGCCAGCTCTACTAATATATTTTTAAATTTTTTCCTTCCAGAAGAGGTACTATGTAGCACCATCTAATTAAAACCATGCTGATAGAGAAACTATAGTACTAAAACATGAAAAGGTATGTACTACATATTTCTAACAAAAAACTTAGTAATTAAAAAATGAAGCCAAGACATGCACCGTTAATACCTTTAATTAGCATTCTACAGTAAGATTACCCACAGTTTTAGCAACAAAAATCTAATGGTACATGTGCGCTTGCACACATACACAGATAGTAGGTGTTCCCGGCCACATGGCACACTACTTACCACAATAGCAACTGGGAGGGGCAGCAAATCTGGTTTGTAGATTTCAGACGTGACATCAACGCTTTTCCTTGGCAAATGTATAACACTTTCATCGCTGCAAGAACTACCGTTAAACATGTTTCCAATTGAATCTGTTAATGATCCAGGAGAAATACTATCATATAGCCTTCCCAAGCCTAGATGGGAAATTTGCGCTGGTAGAGATTGAACTCTTCTTAAAGAGCTTGGGTTATTTTTTTCACAGATATTGCTTGCACGCCATTGAATAAGTCCAGATTCATCTTGAACTCGAATCACAGGAAGGCTCAGTCTTTTAAGGTGTTCGGCCGAGTGCATGGGTGGTTCATCAGGAAATACTTGAGTGTGCAGCATGGGTTCACTTTCAGAAAGCTGTTTTACTAGAGAGGCTCTTATTTTTTCTTTTGAGTTAGTATTAGTTTCTTCTTGAAAGCCGCTGCTATCAGAGTGTGCACTTCCAGTCCGAAATCCCTTATTATCATCTTCAACAGCCAACTATTAAAACAAGAATGTTATGAGTGGTAGCTCAAAATAGAAGAGAGGTATAGACAAATCCAAAAGGTCAGTTAGAAAACAAACTTACCTCCTCCATTTCAAAAGAATCACCTTGGGCTGCTACTACGTTTGCAGCATCTACTTTCAGGTTCACATTAGGAAGAATTCCAATAGAAGCATCTTCTACATCAAATTTTTCCTGTCGTTTCAAGCTTCCACGTCTACGATTGGTTGCAGCATTTAAATCAGTTTGGGATGTTCTCAAGGCTGTGTGAGAATCATTTTCTTCAAAGACTGAGGCATTATCTTCATCTTCATCTACACCCATTTTAAAACTCTGTTCCCTTTCAGATTCCCAGCTACTTACACTGCTAGTAGACCAATTTTTTAAATCAGGGGAATGAGCAACATTTTTGGCAACGTATGAATCAATACTTGAATTCAAAGACAATTTTCTCCGCATTTCCTTATCTAAATACATGGCAGATGACTTCGGCATTGAAAACATTCTTGGTAAATGTTGATTATATTGATCGTCAGTTGAAAACGTACTTTGGTGTGACTCAGGAGAGGTCAGAGGAGAAATGCAATCATCTGGGAGCACAAAGTCTGTTATTTCATAATGAGACAGTTGTCTAGCATCAGAAAGCTGTGTTCTCTTCAGGCATGTTTTAAGAATGCTTTTGGATATTCTGCTCGGTTTCAAAACAGGACTTAAAGTTGCTACATCCATTTTTGATTTCTCATGACTCTCATAATTTCCATTTTCTTCAACTACCTCCCCTAAATCAGAAAGATTTTCCTCTGGGTGAATATGAAGCACATCAAAAGTAGTTGAAACAACTGGAGAAATAGATGGGGCTGATTTCACTCGATGCAACTTCTTCCAGCTTACATCTTTTTCAGGAGTTGACGTTGGCAAATTTTCAGTTTTGTTTAGAAGCATTGGATTGGATTTTGGTTCCATGGACACATGCTTCTCTAGGAAATCTACAGATGGCAGCTTAGATAACAAATCAGAGGGTGAAGGTAATGATCTTCTTCTTTTCTCAGGTGAATTGCCAGAATTCTGCAGAGAACTTGTTAAGTTACAAGAGCTTGAATTTTGAATGCGAGGAGACATGGGAGAAGAAAGGAAAGAATGTAGGTCCTGATGTTTGGAACCAACTTCTGAAACGTTTCTGGCCAAACCACTGGCCTCATCTGTATCACTTTCGCTATCATAACTGGTTAGACTAAGACTTGTTGCTGAAGACAGAACTGAATCTTTGTGAACTAGTGGGCGAGGTGGAGGTGGCTTAGGAGCAACAGCTTCTGGAGTATCCACATCCTCAGAATTTATTTCCGTCTCTATCAATTGGCCATCAACATCAAAGGTAAAAGAACGTTGTCCTATAATCATCCTCTTCCTCAAAACCTATAACATTGTGACGGTTAGAGGACTCAACAAAGAGCAAGAGAATTCACAGATTACATTAAAACAAGGGAAGAAATAATACCTCGGGAGATTTGCTGCCTTGATTGTCAAGAAATTTTCTGTTGTCAGGGTTCAGAACAGAATGAGCCTGAGTGCCAGATGCTATACTGTCTCTGGATTTCATTTTAGTTAAAATCGTTACACGCTGAGCAGCTCGCGAAAAGCGACGTTTTGAAATTTCAGCATGTTGCCCAGGAGACGATCCAGCAGAACTCTTTATACTACTTTCTCTCTCATGCTCCCGAAGCTTTTCCATAATTTTGGCAACAATGACTGATGGAATCTGAGCACCTCCTGTAGATAGTTAAGAAAATTCAATTAAAGGTTTGCAAGTAAAAACACAAAGTATGACAACTACCAATGTGCCAAGGCTAATAAAAGATGTACAGTATCACGAGCAACAGCACACTACTAACAAACCCACAAACAAGGCTAGAAAAATTAGGGGCAAAAAAACAAACTAAGTAAATTTTGTCTAAAAACTGAAAATTAAATGAAATAAAAATTAAAAGATGGCAAAGACAAAGAAACAAAAAGTCATGCATAAAGGAAGTATTGCAAAACATTAAACATTGTAAATAAAATGTTCATTAGGATACTAAAGCAACAACATCATCAAAACACTAAAACAAAATAAATCAACCTTGTACTGTGCTAATCCACACACATAAACAACAAATCAAGGGGGGAGAGTTAGAAGCAAGATGATGAGATACTTGAAGATAAATAGATAGGATAGTGTTTACCTTCATGATGGATGTACTATTTACTCAATAAATATCATGCAATTGTGAACTGGATGAAGAAAACTGACGATACACTACGATCAAGAAAATATCTGAAGGTTTGAAGCTGCCAAAAGTTATAGAAAGCATCACACAACTAGATTAATTTTGCATAACGCACTCACTTTAAGTATAATGCTGGTTCACTTTCAAGAGATCATTCCTGTCCATATAAAACAATTTCAGACAAAAATACATATTGCTTAATGGAGTACCAGATACTTTACTTTTAGAAAACCAAACACCTCAAAAGACCATTTCTTGTATTTTTCTTAAATGCAAAATGCTAAGTTAATACTGAAAGTGGAATTAAATAAATGATAATCATAAGTAGATTAATGGTAGTGAAGGACAACAAATTTAGCAGACATATTGTATTTATAACATGTGAATAAGAGTTTGAATTCAAGTGCATTGTCTGAGCAAAGCTAAAGTGATCAAGATAAAAAGAGAAAGTTGTCCTATGGGTGTCCTGGTATGGATGCCCGTCTCCTACTACATGATTCCGTAGAGGGAACTGTAAGGAGGTGAGATGGTCTACGTGCTGAAGAAGACGAATGACCATGGTGTGGAAGGAAACGACTTGGAATGTTAGAAAATGATTCTGAGAAATAAGACTGGTTTTGAGGAAAATTTCTGTGAGCTGGAGATGAGACAGAGGATGGTAGACGAAAGCGTTCTGGTATAAATGATAAAGCATTGGGACTGATTATATCTGACTCTCCCGCAACAACTGCACCACCTCCACCACCACCACCACCTGCAGAAAGACATGATTAGAGATGCATTTTTGTAAAGACTTATTCAGAGCATAAAATTAATTAGGGGAAACATTGGACAAAAGTCTAGCATTGACAAAATGACTTTATTATTAGAAGTAAAGTTTAGGGAATGAACTCACCAGTCAATCCTCGATAGCCACTGTATCCAGACTCAAAAGTCTCAATGAGATCCTGCTGATATCGTAAAAAGTCATCTATTGCAACTCCTTTAACCTGGGAAAAAGAAAGACAATAGATAAGGCACTTGCAACTCAAGACCATCCCATCAGGTTTCCCTGCTAGAAAAATAATAAAATACAAACTTTGGACTGTTGCAGAAAACGAGCTGGGATTCTTGAAACCTCAGCTTCAGTATTATGTAATGGACCCCCAAAACCTAATCCCAACAAAACTTCTTCTGGATCTGGTCTGCGAGCCTCAAGATATGAATCAACACTAGATCCATGACTTCCTGTGTCTGATTGTAGAGATGGTGAAACATCACGAGAAAACGCTTCTCTCCTCTGATCTGCTGCTAATCCACTCTGACTTGACGAAGGCCTGTAATGCATACAGCACAATATTTTAAGTTGTAGTTGAAATTAAATATTTTAATAAACCAAGTAAATAAAATATCAATTAAAAGTAGAAAGGGAATTAGTACCTTATTGTAACAGACGGACACATATCACCTACAAAAAAAGGAGAGATAAAACAATTATTATGATAAGACTGCCATTAGACAAAACTAGTTTACTACTAAATGGTTCAACAAACCCTCACCTTTGTCTTGGGATTCTATTTTGAGTGACATCTCCACTTCAGTGTTTGAACTATCCACATCTTCTTCCCTGATTTTGAAATGAAAAAAAAAAAATCATTAGATAGAAAATGCGTACCTGGAGTAATCAATAATATATTTCACTTTGAAGATACATGAAAGATGGCTACTTACATGTGTTGTGAAAGTGGAATGGAATCAACCCACTCTTGAACTGTGACAGGTGACTTTCTGGCATGCATTCCTGCTCCACTTGAAGAATCAATATTGAGATATAATTGTTCCCCTAACTTCTTTGCATGTTGGTTGGGCAATTTGACAGAATCCATTGTGCTGAGAACAATGGCTGGGTTTGTTGATCCTGCTTGGCTTGTAACTATCGTATCATTGGAGAGCAATGATGAAGAAGTAGTATACTCTTCAGGAACATTAGTCTTGACACTTTCTTTACAGTTAACTGAGCTTGGAATATCACTGCTATCATATGCCACAACATGGTCTACTGCAGTGGCAGTGCTATCACTATTACGATTGCTACCAAGTTCAGGTTTCATTAAACATAATTCAGTTTTATCTACATCACAGTCATCTAGCGGATTATTAATGATTGTTTCTAAATCTTTTGATATGTGTTCTTGATCACCTGATGTAGTCTTCAGCAAGTTTTGCTCACAACTATCTGATTTCATTATTTTGGATTTCCTCAAATCCATATTTGATGCCATTGTAGGCACTACCCGTGAAACACAGTCTTGGTCCTGTTGATTCTTTGAAGTATTAGTAGACTCTAAATGGCTTGTACATTCAAGTGTGACATTGGTGAAAGAAAGAGCGTTGACAGGGAGTGTGTTTTCACAGACTTCTTCTAATTTTAACATTTCTCCACTTTTTTTATCCTGCGCTTTCATCCTCACCATCTCAGAGGCACTATGTTGTTCCTCACCTTCAGGATTTTCTACCCATGGTGCTACTTCAGCATCAACTCTATCTATATTGCTGTCACAGTGATCTGAAGAACCATCAGATGAAAAGAGGCGTCGAAACTTTTGAATGGCAATAGGAGCAAATTGAGGCCAATTCCTTTGTGAAGGAACATCTGCAATTTCATCTCCTTGGGATGATGCACCATTCCGGTCCTTGCTCCCTCTAAAAGATGGATAATCTTTGTCCCACTTCCATTGGAGTCCTCTCCGAAATACGTCACGGACGCGGTTTTGAAGGGTTTGAGCCTGACCCTCACTTTTAGTTCCTGAAAAATAATAACAGAAATTTAATTTTTAAAATACACTCAAGGCATATTAACAAAACTTCCTGATTACGCACTCCCATCCTTGGAGTAACAGCAAAAACATGTTAAATTATACATAAAATTCAGAATGTGGTGAGTGTTTTTTAAAACCATTGGGTATGTTCTAAAGAAATATTGTGCTTGAGAAACTTCAGATCTTGAGGGGACATCAACCAGAATGCTGAAAATCTTTCTAGTCTAGGAGGCCTTGATAATGCAAGCAGCACTTGGTTATGTAAAACAGCATATTGCAATGCAAGTAGGATAAAACTTCCCATTTTACGATCAATCTACCAAGCCTATTACCATATCTATACAGATGCAATCAATGTTAGTAACACAGACTATAAAATCAACCCTGATATCTACTAGTCTGCTAAAGACGTGTTTTAGCAAACAATATGAACCACAAACAGATAAAAAGCATTTTTAAAAAAGTACTGAAAATAGGAGACAAGAGATGAATTAAATACCCAAACTATGCCAATTTAATGATTTTTAGAATTATAAAATCAAAACCAATTATAAAATCATGCACGTGAACAACTACACACACAGAATTGCAATAAGATAAAATAAAATAAGAGACACTACTAAGAAAATAAAGAAGATTACTTGGAAAAAATAAAATAAAAACTCAATAAATATACATTTCAGCCTATATTTACTAGTTGGGTTGGCAGAGGGTGATCCTAGGAAGCAATGCTAATGGCTTACGGATCATACCTGCAGCCGACTCCATTATGCAGATGTTAAACTGTAGAAAAGAGATCATTTTGTGGCTCCATAACTATATGAGATTTCTTGTGACAGCGATTGAGGAGAAGAAAAGACAGAGGGTCAGAAATATTATGGTAGAAATTTTTCAACTAGGGTGTTTGGGATCTGAAGATAGATTTAAGATTAAAATTATTTCATTTTACTGAGAACTTGCCTTTTCTTTTCAGTTTCTTATTTTGAGAACTCATGGTGGAAATGGATCTGTCAAAAGTTACTCCGACACTCAGCTACACATTTCATTTCATTGTACAAAATACAGCCTAACTTATCTCATCTCTTATCAGGGTTCTGACTTTGGATTCAACCCTAACTACTGTTTGCTATGAACACGCTGTACCATGAGATGTGAAAGATAAACGAAGCCAGACAAGAAGAGAGGCGACATTAATTAATCTGTGGTAGCTTCAGTCTCCAAAGCACTGACAAAGGGTCATGACAGGGTAAGTTTAGATCATGAGAACAAAGATTTTGTGTGTTTTTAAAGCAAAAATTGACAAGAATTACTGAAGACAACATGCATTTATTTCATGCCTTTAAAGCTTGGATGTACGACAGAAATGACGAGAAAACTTGCAAAAATTTCAGTGATAAATAGAGAGACCATCAAGAAAAACGATGCAAATTTTTTGAAGAAGAGGGCATAATAAATAACAAGAGAGACAGAGTTGACATGTAGGCCTCACATTAAGAAACAACTTAACATATTTTTAATTTCCCTAAATTGTGATTAAAATATATCAGAAAATCTAGCACTACTGCTCGCGTATTTCATGAATTAGATACTTGTGACAGTCCATTTCTACCGCGCAACAAAGCTTTTTTTTTGTGTATTTTTAATTTCCATTTTTTGTACAATTAAATAGCAAACAATCTGATATCCTTGAGGCTAAACAGGACGGCTAGCCTATGAAAGCGCAGTGAAAGTGATTTCATTTCTCGTGAGAGGATCGGCGGCATATATCGTTCGAGAAACGCAGTTTAACACATGAAAAACGAAAGCAAATGCCTAACATCTGGTTTCAGTCGTCAAATATTATGCATGAATTTGGATATATTTGGTCAGGCTGGCTGACAGAATGACAACTGAAATGCAACCCTACCTCGTTAGATGAGAGCGTTGATTCGATCTATCAAGACGTAGCAGCAAATTTTCAAACTCCCATCAACCGAAAGAAATAGTTTCTTTCAAGATGTAAAATTTGGAATGTTTAGCCACTTGATGATTCGGGCATCCATTTTGAAGATCCCAGCTCAGCTGGATGCTTGAGTGACGTCACGGACGTCACGAAAATACGGCCTGCTAAAAACACCAAACATCTTGTTTACTTTTAACTAGCAGAAAACAAGTCAGAGCGACCGTCAAAAATTACCCGAAGCCAGCAGTCTGCCCGGCCTGTCTTGGCTTGACTCTGCGCAGTTGATTTTGTTTTATTTATTTTTATTATTAAAAGGGTATTTTGAGATTGCAAGCTACTGATAATAGGTAAGTCATCCCGGACTTTCTCATATTATTGTGAAGTGTTCTCTGCTGTGTGTCGCCTAACCTAGTTTGCACATGCTGCTGTTGTACAATAGGCGTTAATTTAGTTTTCTTTCTTAAAATATTTTTTTAGGATAACTTTTGAAAAAATGAAGCGAGCTGAGAGAGGTAAGAATCGAAGTAGAGGTGGTTACAGAAAAAGGGGCCAGTCAGCACAACAGGATCGGAGCAGAGGGAAGTTTGAAGTAACTGATGAGGATACAAGTAACATTGTTCAAATGTCCCAATTGCACATTGAATCCAGTGAGGATAGTGACGATAGTAAGTACATTCATTAATATATTGATCTTTATCTGCTCCACATAATGTACTTAATTATTTCCTATGTTAGGCTCCTCAGATGAACAGGCAACATATCACGATGAAGTATTACCTGGATTGGAAAGAGTTGATAAAGCACCCTTTCCCGTTGCCATGTGGGATATGGACCAGTGTGATCCCCGTAAGTGTTCTGGACGCAAACTAGCTCGGTTCGGTTTAATACGAACCTTGAAACTGAATCAAAAATTTGGTGGTATTACTTTGACACCTGTTGGCCAGAAAGTAAGTTTCTTTAACATTTTTCTTGTGCAATATATTTTGCTCTTTTACAGGAATACTATTTAGTACTGGTTAATTGCATTAACTGTTTATTTTCAGTGTGTGTCCATGGAAGACCGTGAGATAGTTGCTCAACATGGAGCATGTGTTGTAGATTGCTCTTGGGCAAAACTTGAAGAAACTCCCTTCGCTAAAATGCGAACACCGTTTCCTCGTCTGTTACCCTTTCTAGTGGCAGCAAACCCCATTAACTATGGAAAGCCATGTCAACTGTCATGTGTTGAAGCCTTGGCAGCTACATTTTATCTAACAGGTCAGTTATTCTAGATAAATATAAATTTTTCTGTTGTATTTAATTTGAGACTGTTTATTTTCTTTTATTCTTTTTGTAGGATTTAAAAGTGAGGCTATGCTTTATTTGAGTAAATTTAAATGGGGAAAATCCTTTATCTCTGTAAACAAGGAAATCCTTGATATATATGCATCTTGTAAAAATAGTGCTGAAGTTGTAGCAGCCCAAAACTCTTACCTTGAGCGTGTTCAGCAGGAAAGAAGAGACCGAAGAGGTAAATATTTTAGTTTTTGCACACTGTCGTTGTAGCAGCTCTATACAGTTATCATGAAGTTAAAACAACCCTACTCTTGATCTTGGTGCACCATGTTGCTTTTTCTAGACTTCCCATCAAGCAGTTCTGATGAGACATCAGAAAGTGAGGAAGAAGAACAGAGTGACCCAGCAAAGCAAGGAGAGGACCAGAAGCAGCAACAAGATAAGCCGATGAGCATGGCAGAAGAGACTGAACAGGCCCCTTCTTAGAGTAGGCAAGCAGATTGAAATACAGATAATTTTTCTCGTCAATAACTCTTTGATGCGCCCAACATGAAATAAGTTTGATTCACAATGTACACAATCAGGAACACAAAATGGAGCCCTACTGCCCCAGTTTGAAGCTATCAGCAGACGGGAAAACGTTCCTTTTTTTTTTTTCGTGGCCGCTGCTATCCCTCGTGCTATCCCGTGCCACCGCCGCCCGGCCTCGCGATGCAGCCACGCCGGCAGCCGTGCCGTGCGGGAGGCATCGCCCGGGCCGCAGGCGCCCTCCGCACGGCGCTGCGCCGCGCCCCGCCGCCCGGGCACGGCAACCCTTGCACGCGCGTGTCCCACAGGAAGTGTCAGTGACCTTTCTCAAACACAACCAGGGGATGCAGGAGAGGGGTGGTGTGGTCCCCAGCAGCAGCGGGCGGCCCGGCCGACCGGCCGGTCGGGGTCTTTGACCTTGCGCCGACCGGCCCGCGCGTGTCCTCGCACCCGCGCTGTGCTGTGTGTGAAAACCAGCAGCCAGTCCATGAACCCTGGGCTTAGTTCGCCCTGCTTTCCCAAACATCCCCTGGATATGTCCGCAAGATAGGGCGTGCTCGCATCGGCTAACATGTTCCAATCTGACCTGATAGTCTGCTAATGACGACGCCCCACCCGACCCGCATCCCCGAGCCATCCATCCATCCCCTTCGGCTCTGTTGTCAATGTCTCGCTTCGCATCCCTGTCTCCCCCTCCCCCCCCCTGCCCCCCTAAACAGTAACTGGGGCACGTAGGGCGACGGCATACTGGAGGCGACACCTCGTCCTCTGGCGCTTCCAGCCCTGCCGTGTCTGCCGTGCGGCGTACAGGCTCCAGCCCCTTCCTCCCGCTGGAGCTGGAGCGGTGGAGCGGGCGGGCGGCTGTGGTGTGGGCTCGCCCACCCGGCCGGGTCAGGCCGGGCCGGGGGTGCGCGGGCTGCGCGCCGCTCTGGCCGCTCAGCCGCCCACCCCTACCCCTCCAACCCCCTGCGCTACCCTCTCCGCCATGGCTCAGGCGTTCGATGTAGCGCGGTGCTGCGCGGCTGCGCGTCGCTTTGCTGCGCAAGTGCTGCGCGGTGAGACCCATTTGCTGCGTTCGCAAGGCCAGTGCTGAGCAGCGCCGAGGAGCCGAGTCGAGCCCAGCCCAGCCGAGCCGGGCGCCCAGGGCGAGGCGACGCCGAGCGCCGACGCCGCGACGCCCCGATCGGTGCCGCCGAGCCGAACGGCGCCGAGTTGAAGCCGAGCGCGAGCGGCTCGCCCGGGCCCGCCAGGCCAGCCCTAGTCCTGTTCTCGCGCGTGCGGCGGGCGGACATGCTTGCCCCCGGCACCGGAGCGCTGCCCGTCCTGTACCAAGCTCCAAAGCGCCCCTCCACCCCGCGCATCTCGGTTCGGCCCTCGCCTCGGCCTTGACATCAGACGCCGTAGTGCGTGCGTGTGCGTGCGTGTACGCGTGCCCGCCAGTGTCGGTGCGCCGCGCGTCTCGGAAGGAGTAGGGACGTAAATAATCCAGCTACCCCAATCGACAACCCCAGTCACCCAGCCTCGGAGCACCCTGGGCCAGCCCGGCAGCATGTTCGATGAGCCAGCCTGACTTGAGGTACGCGACGTCGAAGGTTCACGCTCTGTGGTTCATGGCGGGCCTCTTGATGGCCTCTGCGGGTGTAGCCTCTGCACGCGACTCCCAGGATCCCCGTGTTTTGGCCGCTGCTTCGCCGAGGCGGTCGTACTGCCACGCCGCTGCC